GGGAAAAACAAAGGTTAAAAATGCAAAGAAGTGTGACATGTGACGCGTAAGTATTACAAAAAGTGAGAACTAAGATAAAGAGTAAGTGTGACAAATGGGCATGAACAGTGCAGAAACAACTCATGAACACGGGGTGCAAACTCACGAAAAAAACCTAAGTGTTACAACATGTTCTTTTTGCTTACACAAATCGGGCTTATGCATACGAATACAAACAGCTTCAAGGACCTTCAACTGCTGGACATAACGGGCACGACACAGTACAGAGAAGTGGGAATCATCATACACACTCAAACAATCGGGACGAGATAACAAATGCAAGTACACAGCTGACTTCTTAAGAATTTCACCCTCATCAGCTCCATCACCTTCCCTGCCACCTGACTCCTCCTCGTCCGTTTTATCACCATCACCACCAGCCGTCTCATCGTCATCCGCCTTGTCGTCATCCGCCGCCTCGTCATCACCCGCCTCGTCGTCATCTGTATCCTCGTCATCCGCCGCATCATCACCCAACTCATATTCACTACCAATCCGTCGTCTGATACCATCCGTGTTCTCCTTCCTACGTCTGTCTCGTGCCACTGTCCTTAGCTCATCTACGTCTCGAGATTGTATTCCGTTTTGCTTCTGGGTTCTGTTCTCCTTCGATGCTCCGCGTGGGCCTTGGCCATTCCTAGCATATATTTCTGTTGAAAAATTGGCAGTCGACCTCCGTGGTCTCTGGACCCACGGATCAAGCGCCGGAGGGTGCTGCGGTGTCCGCACAGCCGGATACTGTGTCAAAGAAATGGGATCAATTTCTGTGATTGGCGGTACTGTCGTTGTTGCCGACTCCACCCCAACCCCATCCACCAACGGCACTGGTGGTGGCTCCGGTGGCAGCGAGGGCAACGGTGGAGAAGGCACATTCGGTTGGCTTAGTGATCCACCACTCTTCCTCTGCACCGTGTGTTCGACTTGCTCTGGCTGTGTCGGTGGTAGAGGGAGCGGGTTCTTGCGTGGTCTTCCCCGCTTCGGGCGCTTCGCTTTTGCTGCGTCCGGCAGCATGTGAATGTGCATGAGCTGTTTGTATTCGTACGCATAAGCCCGATTTGTGTAAGCAAAAAGAACATGTTGTAGCACTTAGGTTATTTTCGTGAGTTTGCACCCCGTGTTCATGAGTTGTTTCTGCACTGTTCATGCCCATTTGTCACACTTACTCTTTATCTTAGTTCTCACTTTTTGTAATACTTACGCGTCATATGTCACACTTCTTTGGATTTTTAACCTTTGTTTTTCCCTTGATCACGTTAGTTCCGTATTTCCACTGATGATCGGAGTTTGAAAATCGATTTTGGAAACACACAAAACCAAACCTTGAACAAATTGTCATGTTGCTTGGTGATGTCTGCGGCATTCATACTTTTCATAGCTATTAATAATATGAACAGGTCGCATATTTAAAAAAAAAAATTCGACGGGTTCGCGTACCGGGCCGGTCAAGAACAAGGAGTCGTACAACTCCTTGGTCAATAACCACCTTTCCGCTTCCGTGGGACGCCACCACCCCATGATCAGGTCGCATATTGCCCGCACAAAAAAATCATACGGGGGTCATGCATCTGTCAATGATCGTTAACCAGAGTTGCTTGTTGGTGGCGAGGTTGAGGTATTCCTGAATCGGCACATTCAGAGGTTCGAGGTCTTCTCTGATGTTGTCGACCCATCTCTTGCGGGGTCGTCCACGGGGGCGCTTGATGTCCATAGCGTTTTGTTAATCAAGCACAAGTCAGGGTACTCATCTGATTCTGATTTAATGAACTTTAAAGCACAGCTGTTGAGGCTTCATCAGCAATACGGCGAAATGTACTCGTATATCGTGTGAAACTACTTGTTATTTCACCTAATGGTGACTTGTCCACCATTTTTACATCAACTTGGAGTTCAGGCCACACGTTTTTATTTCTATGTTTCTCGTCACGCGCGCGCATACGATTTAGGAGTCCGGAAGAAAAAAAGAAAAAAAACTGTGGTGCACTGACTGTGCATGTGGGAGCCAGCACACTCATGCACATGTACATAATGTGGTCTGGCCTGCGCGACACATGATACAAGAAGGTATTTTTTGTGTGCAATCTACCTGCACATGCTCAGATTGTGACAGAAGCTCCTACCACATACTAGTTGCTAACTAAGGACGCTATTTTGCATGGTGTATTGGTGGATTTTAGTGTGAACAAAGGTCTAATAAACTTTATTTTTATTCCCGTAGCTATGCAGAAGACGTTACTTCAGTAACGTCTGGCGCTAGCCAGGGTCCACACAGCTTTAATTTGGTATTTGTGTGTTTGTTTGTTTGTTTGTTTGTGTCACGCCTGGCGCTATCCCGTATCTGACGGCAAAAAAAGCATAGGGATGTTATAAATTTTTCAATTCTCCAATTTTTTTTTCAGGCATATCCTGGGATTCGAACCCGCACTATCGCCCTACATGCATTCCCCCATACACTTCGCATTCATACCCATTCTTCCAAGTTGCTTCACGTTATGATCTTGCGTTTGAAAGCCCTATTTGAATATGGCGGGCAGCTGTATGTGGCCAGCTGTGTTTGATGGTACGGTACGGGAGACGGTGTTGTATAACCCTCGATCGTACCTGTCCCGTACCTATCCCTTACCGTACCGTACCATCAAAGCCGGCTGGCCACAATGCATATTCAAATACGGCTTTCAAATGCAAGATAATACTGTGAAGCTACTTGGAAGAATTAGTATGTATGTGAAGTGTATTGGGGGATGCATGCAGGGCGCGATAGTGCGGGTTCGAATCCCAGGTTATGTCTAAAAAAAAGGAATTTTTAAAGAATTTATAACATCCCGAACTAAGAAGTTGCGACTTCGGCGGTAATGTCATGAAGTTGGTTGCTCCAACGAGGAGCACACGCTTCTTGCCGAACTTGACACTTGACTGACTCACGACTGCCACCCGGAGCACACCAGGAGCACGTCGCACCTTCCGCTCGGCAAACCTGAAAGAAAGCACCACTCCCTGCTCAATACACAGTGTTTCGGGGAATTCACCCCTCATCAGTTGAGCTTGAGTAGGCTGAGGAAGATTGTGCGTGAAAAGCACCACTTATATACTGCTCTCCAGGCCAAACCATCACCAGGGATACAAACTTACAGAGACGCTTTGTTTCCAGCGCGACAAACACCTCGTGAAGCCCCAGGTAGCAGCGTGAGTCAGAGTCGCTCATGGAGTTGTGCTAAACAGACGTTGAGAGCCAGTATAGCTATTCACAACGCTGTCACCTCCAACAACTAGTCGCACGTCCGCGTGAGGAACAACAATACGAACTTAGAAGTTGCGACTTCGGCGGTAATGTCATGAAGTTGGTTGCTCCAACGAGGAGCACACGCTTCTTGCCGAACTTGACACTTGACTGACTCACGACTGCCACCCGGAGCACACCAGGAGCACGTCGCACCTTCCGCTCGGCAAACCTGAAAGAAAGCACCACTCCCTGCTCAATACACAGTGTTTCGGGGAATTCACCCCTCATCAGTTGAGCTTGAGTAGTTCCTCAGCCTGCTCAAGCTCAACTGATGAGGGGTGAATTCCCCGAAACACTGTGTATTGAGCAGGGAGGGGTGCTTTCTTTCAGGTTTGCCGAGCGGAAGGTGCGACGTGCTCCTGGTGTGCTCCGGGTGGCAGTCGTGAGTCAGTCAAGTGTCAAGTTCGGCAAGAAGCGTGTGCTCCTCTTTGGAGCAACCAACTTCATGACATTACCGCCGAAGTCGCAACTTCTAAGTTCGTATTGTTGTCCCTCACGCGGACGTGCGATTAGTTGTTGGAGGTGACAGCGTAGTGAATAGCTATACTGGCTCTCAATGTCTGTTTAGCACAACTCCATGAGCGACTCTGACTCACGCTGCTACCTGGGGCTTCACGAGGTGTTTGTCGCGCTGGAAACAAAGCGTCTCTGTAAGTTTGTATCTCTGGTGATGGTTTGGCCTGGAGAGCAGTATATAAGTGGTGCTTTTCACGCACAATCTTCCTCAGCCTACTCAAGCTCAACTGATGAGGGGTGAATTCCCCGAAACACTGTGTATTGAGCAGGGAGTGGTGCTTTCTTTCAGGCTTGCCGAGCGGAAGGTGCGACGTGCTCCTGGTGTGCTCCGGGTGGCAGTCGTGAGTCAGTCAAGTGTCAAGTTCGGCAAGAAGCGTGTGCTCCTCGTTGGAGCAACCAACTTCATTTATAACATCCCTATGCTTTTTTAGTCTAGGTCATCAAGGCAAAAAAAGTAGTGGTGTGCACGGGTAGTCGGGTACCCGTGCTACCCGTGAGGACCTCGGGTAGTCGGGTACCGAATAGTACCCGGAAACCCGAGGTCGCAGATGACATCATGTACAGTGCACGTGTACAAATAATTCACGCATGTCTACCCAATGCGCAAGGGAAGGGGCCGGTGTGCATTGTGGTCTTACCATGGAAACATTACCCGATCGGGTACCTGTGCTACCCGTGGAAAACTACCCGGACCCGATACCCGAAGAAAATGCTACCCGACTCAGCCCTAAAAAAAGCATAGCGTAGGGCCCTGAGCTTCCAAGCTCTCTCGTTTTTCGGTCATTTTTTATTTTTTTCCACCTCTCGCATACGTTTTTAGATTTTCAGGTGAGGAGAAACATAGAAATAAAAACGTGCGGCCTAAGTAGGATATTAAATGTCTTTTCGAATGATTACCGGTATCTCTTTTTCTTTTAGTTATCGGTGAATTTTCGAATGATTATCTCTTTTTCTTTTAGTGATTGGTGCAGCCCAGAGACCGTTTGGAAAGTGTTGTGAAGATGTATGGATATAGTGGATGGATATAGTGGATGGATATAGTGGATGGATATAGTGGATGGATACAGTGGATGGCTACAATGGAGTGTACGCATTTTGAGAAATGTTTTCCTCCAGTACATGAATTGCTTTTTGGTTTTTATATCTCCGTTATCCACCCTGTACGTAG